TGATCATGCTGAATGATCTTTGTTTTTTTTTTCTTCCTTATGTTCTAAACAATTGCTCTGATTCTTGGCTTTTTCCACTCTACTGTTCTTTCCCTGTAATAACAGGGAAAAATATATCCTTATTTTCTGACTGGATCTTTTTTATGTAGCTGAGGTCCCCACTAAGTTCCTTGAGCATCCTTATAACCGGTGCTTTGAATTTTGCATCTGATAGATTGCTTTCTCTGTTTCATTTAGCTCTTTTTCTGGAGTTTTGATTGACTCTTTCATTTGAGCCATGTTTCTTTGTCTCCTCATTGACATCCTCCCTGTGTTTGTTTCTATGTATTAGGTAGAGCTGCTCTGACCCTGTGTCTTGGTAGTGTGGCCTAATGTAGTAGGTGTCCTATGGGTTTCAGTGGCACAGCCACCTCTATCACCCAAGCTGGGTACTTGAGGTGCACCCTTTGTGTGGACTGAGTACACCCTCCTCTTGTAGTTGGGCCTTGCTGTTGGCAGATCAGTGGGGAGGATTTACCCAGGCAGGTTAGCTGCAAGGATTGGCTGTGACCACTGACCATTAACCTCTACCCTCCAGGGAAAATAAGCTGTGCAGGGGCAAGGTGGTGGTGCTCCAGTGTGGTCTGTAGCTGTCCACAGGGTGCGCAGGCTCTGGGATTCCTGGGTGGCCCAAGGCAAGGTCATCCCACACCTGTGTTTTGCCTGGGGCCACTCTGCCTGAGCTATAAAGTAATCTGAGATGGCTGCTACTTGTGCTGGGCTTAGAGATTCCCAGGTGAAGCTGATCTCTGAATCTAGGCTGGCTGTTGTTAGTGCCAGGCTTGGGACTCACTGAGGCCAGCTGTTGCTTGTTTGAGAGGATTTACAAAGTTGTGCAGTATGAGCTAAGACCAGCCATTCATATGGAAAAGCAGCTTGGATGGGCCAGTAAGTTGGCTGGGGTTGAGTTTCTGGGGAGCTCTAGGGCACATCAAACAGTGTTAGCCAGGTTGATGGAGTCTCAGATATTGTACCAGCCTGCCAGCTCTATGGAGGTAAGGTTTAGAAAAGGGACAATGTCCTCTGCTCAACTGTTGGCAAACATTTCAGTTTCTCCCGGTATGTCACTGGTCCCTTTCAAGCTGCTACTCCAGTGGTGGAGCTCAGAGAGAGTGAGTCTGAGTAGGTGAGTCTGTGTGTGGGTTCTTTAAGAGGGAGCTGCTTGGGGTTCCAGCAGTGTCTTCTACCGACTCAATCCCTGCTGGCTTTCGCAGCTAGAAGTCGTGGGGACTTATTTCCCTGGCATTGGAACCCTGGGCTGGGGCTCCTGGTGTGGGGCTGGGACCTCCCTCTCTCCTGAGATATTCCTCCTGAATTTTTATCTAACACATATGGATGAGGGACCATCCCATTCTGCACCTGCACCCCTCTTGCCAGTCTGGATGGATGTGGTTTCCTTAAATCTGTAGTTGTCAGAGTTACTCGATTTCTGGTGGTTCTGAGTGATGGTTGTTCTATATTTTATTTGTAATTTTGATGTGGTTGTGCAAAAAGGTGAACCATGTCTGCCTACACTGCCATCTTGACTGGATGTCTCTCAGACTTCTAATAGTCTCAATTTAAGTGCACTAAACTAAGATGTAAACCATCATTTCAGTCATTCACCTAGTCTCAGGTATGGTTTCTGAAAGCAGTAGTCTATGGACCACATGCATGAGAATGAACGTTGGGTCTTGTTAAAATGCACATCCTGGTTCCCCACTTCAAGACCACAAAATTAGAATCTGTGCAATTGTGGATCTGAATTTCAACAAGTTTTTTAGATAACACTGAAGCACATTAAAGCTTGAGAAATTTTGAGGGGTGGAGGAGAGAACAAAAGTACAAAGGTAAGACAGCACAAAAACAACATAAGTGGAACCTGAGGTGCATGAATGCAAGAATGTGGGTCTATAAAAGTAAATTGAGCTAGAGTTCAAAAGGACTTCACTGTGGGAGTCAGGGGGTTGACTTTTATTCTATTGTCAACAGGGAGCTATTCCTCTCAGTGGTACAGTGGATTGGTTAAGAGGCTGAAACCTGAATCCAGACTGTGAGGGTTCAAATTTTAGCTCCTTGATTCACTAGCTATATGATCCTGGACAAGTTTTTTTCCTTTAATTTTATTTTTTATTTATAGTTCACATTCAATATTAGTTTGTATTAGTTACAGGTGTACAGCATAGTGGTTAGATAATCATACTTTGCAAAGTGTTCCCCCCAATACTTCCAGTACTTACCTGGCACCATGCATAATGAAATAGGTGACGGGCTTGAGAAGTATAAATGGTAGTTATAAAATGGTAATGGGAATATAAAGTAAAGCATAGAAAGCACAGTCAACAATATTGTAATAACTATGTATGTGGCCTTGGACAAGGTTTTAACCCCTTTCTGGTTCAGTTTCATCATTTATAAAATGTAGATCATGGGATTAAATAAGTTTATATTTAAAGCACATAAAGTTGTGATTGGCATATAGTTCAGAATATATGTCAGCATAAGGACTTTTGAGCAAGGGTGTATCATGGATAAGGCTATCCTTTGGGAAAATTAAGCTGGCACTAATGTATGTTCATTCCCTACCAGCAAATCTTATAATTTTTTCCTTCTCAGTGGTTCTCAAACTTGGCTGTAGCCAAGTGTGTACACTGGAATAACTCGGTCACACCCACCCCATGTCTGGACATAAATTTACTAAGGTAATTCCACTCTACACACATAGTTGAGAGCCAATGCTTTAAATATATTTTTAATTTGACCATTTTTTGGTAACTGGATCTTTATTACATGCATGACACCATGCTTGGTCCTCTCTGCATCATCTCATTTAAATCTCACAACCCTTTGGAGGTAGGTGATAACATTATCTTCACTTTAAAGATTGTTAAATATCCTAAGTACATTGCACATAATCACCCAGACAGAAAGTAGAAGGTCTGGGGTGAGAACTGAGGCAGCTTAGCTCCAGAAGCTCCATCTGAACCACTGCTTTACACTGTGTCCCCAGAGCAGACACACTCCCTCCCCCACTATTGAGGCACCTTGCTGGTCCCTCCTCTTGCTTTATTGCCTCCTTCCAATCTAGTCTGGACACAACAGCTGTTAAGATTTTGAGAGACATCAACTGGATCATGTCATGCCCCTGTGCACAATCATCCAATGGCTTCCCAGTGCACTTAAAAACTGAAATCAAAACTCCTTTCTCATGGTCTTGAATATCCCACGTGGTCTGATTCCTGTTCACCTCTCAAGCCTCATCTGATCATTTTGACCACAAACATTATATTCCAGCTACACTGATCCTTAAATTACTTGAATATTCCAAAGTCCTCTCTTCCTTTGAACTTGGTTTTCTTTCTGCCTCAAATTCTCTACCTCCAGGATCTTTGCATGGATGGCTCCTTTTCCTTTTTCAAGTCTGAAATTAAATTTTATCTCAGACAGCCCTTCCCAATTACTCAGCCTAAATGCTTTCACCTTTTATTTCCTATCTCAGTCCTTTATTTACTTTATAGTACAGTTATCCCTTGGTATCCCTGGAGGATTGGTTCAGGATACCCCCTGCAGATACCAAAATCTGAGAATGCTGAGATCCCTCATATAAAATGGTATAGTATTTGCACATAATCCATACTTACATATATGCTACAGTGGGGTATGCCTATATATCACTTCATTCATGTGGGTTCATCATGGTGCTCAGCACAGAGTAAATTCAAGTTTTCCTTTGGGAAACTTTTTGGGTTTTCTTTTCCAAACATTTCAAACTGTAATTGGTTGAATCCACAAATGTGTAACCCATGAATGCAGAGAACCAACTATACTTGTACCGTTTATATTTAGATATTTATTTTCTTATTTTTTTTGTCCTCTCTGGTAGAATGTGAGTTACACAAGAGCAAAGAATGTATCTTTGCTGCTATATATGCCAAATATGTTTGTATAGATTGTGTGCTCCACAACGACTCCAGAGATAAGGAGTGTATTCACAAGGATTTTCTGGTAAATAGTAGCAAAGTATCATAAGCAAGGGGATCCTTTTTGTAATTCATATAAAGATGCTTGCTATGGAGTCTGGCATGTGCTCTGTATATCTACTATATTCACCAATATGTATTCGGCTTCTAACACAGTGCTGAACATCCAATAGATGTTCAATAAATATGTTGATTGAATGGAAGGAAAGAAGACAAAACTAGGATACTGCCATAGGGAAAACAGGAAAAAGGAGAGATATAGAAGATTGCTAATAGATTTGATAATTTGAGAAGACTCAACAAAGGAGAAATTAGTGGTTACAATATTTGATCTTAGGAACTTAGAAAAAAGTGGTGCCATTCAGTATCAAATGAATAGAACCCAAAGAAGAAAAAAACTTGTTTGAGAAAATGACAATTTCATTGTAGATATGATTTGAAAAAACGATGCCTTACATATGGATTTTATTGAGTTTGTCACCATCCTACCATGGGATTTTTAGGAATATACATAAATTTTTCTTGCACAGTGTTCAAAATGGTCATGTCAATGTTTTGCAAGGCCCATTCTGTCTTTTAAGGTAGTGCAGGTGAATAGCCTGTGTTTTACAATACAATAAGGGCCAAACTAAAAGGCATTAAGAAGAAAGAGATAAAGACACTCAATTTCACAGTAGAGGGTGATTTGGAGGCCCTCCAAATCACCAAATTCAATGTCTTAACTGAACAGCTGCACTGGGTTCATTGATTGGGTTGCCAGTGCTGAAAGGCCTTCAGCCATGACTCATATGTCTCTTGCCACAATTCTGCATAGTTTCTTTCAAGTGGTAGCTCTTGAAATCAGTGATTTTACTTTCTTTTTATGTATGAAAGCATCCCTAGAAACTAAGGCTACCGCAGAAAAGTCACTTTCCCTAGGATACTGGGCAGGTATTTTCCTCTCACCTAAGTCTTGCTAGTCAGATTGACAGCACCACAGGTCTTGGAATGTGGGATACATACCTCTGCATACCTGGCAGCAGGAATCCGGAACAGACACAGGGAATGCACAGCTTAACTTGGGGCAAGTCTTGAGACCACAGTACACATTTCCTTCCTGCCAAGAAGTAACAGAATAAGATCACAAGGAGGCTTAGCTAGGTACCTGGAATGAAAAGAGACTCAAAACATGGCATGTCCATTCCCACTGCTCTCCCACAGTTGGTTGGTTCTAAGTACTTTCTAAATTTTACTAGGCATTATTTTCTTGTATTTACTATTTTTCCATGCCAGAGACTAAGTCGCAGAAGAGTTGGCAACCCTCATTATGCATCCTGGTCTAAAGTGGCACAAAGTCATGAGTGTGAGGGCTGCTGTGGGCTACCAAATCAATAAATACAGTCTTGTTCCTCTCTTCTCTGTTCATTGTAACTCTTGGTCCCCATCATCCCTCAGCTGGATGTTGGGAATTTTGGAAAATGGATTTGCTTGATAGCCACCTTTTGTAATTCTCACTAGAATATCCCTTCCACACCCAGGAGATGAGCTCTCTGTCTTAATACAAAACTATACAAATTATCTGAATTGACAGCTCAGTCAGCAAGAAGCAGAGAAGAGGATCAAATTTACTTGCTGTTATGTGTGTCTTTGCATAATGTCCATTTCCTAAAGTCCTACTTTCCAAATATTATTCCTTAAGCATTGTTATTGGTTCTTAAAAGCATATAATTCTGGTGCTAGACAGGTTTCTGAAAGGGTAGGGAGGCAAGACCACAACCAAATTATCCCAAACTACTGAGATACTACTACATTTTTACTAAAAAAAATCCCCATGTGAACAGAGTCTATAACTTCCCTAGGAAATTCAGAGTTTCATGCCCCTTAGAGAAAGAAACAGTTGTTTTTCTACATCTAACTTCATTCTCTGACACATCAGTTTCCATACCCATTTTACTCCATTTTCTGGTTTTACCTATTTCATTCTCTGGACTGCACAATTAGATGAAGATATAATCAGCATATTTGTCCCTAAAGTATACATATTCTTTTGACAATGTCATAGGATCAGGCATGTGTTCTCAGGATAGTTCTCATTGCAGTACACCAGGGATGAACTGGATGAAACCAAGAGACACCCCATTTTCTTCTGAAGTGCACTAAGTAGCTGTAGATGGAGCCTGTGGTTTTTTTCACCCATAGCATCCCCCAAACTTCAAATAATTGAGTCCTTCAGATTAAGACTTTAGTGGTATAAAATTGTTAAAAGGAGTGCATATCAAGACAACCAGCTCATCTCTGTCCATTTAAGCAGTTCTAAAGTTCTAAGAATAAGATATGACTGGGTCTGAGCTCTTCAACAGAGTTATTCAGGGTTGATGAAATCAGGGAGTCTGGGTTGGCAGGCATGCTTATGACTTAAATGTACCCCATCTTGATTCAAACACCCTACAGTGTAGACTCAAACTAAAGGTATAAACACAAAAGATGCTCTTTTATTTGGTTAGGGGTTAACAGAGACAGTAAGATGCAACATCTTACCGAACAGCTGCATTGGGTACATTGATTGGGTTGCCGGTTCAGAAAGAGTCCTTCAGCCATGAACAGCTCACCATGTTGGTAAGTGGTCCCATTGTACTCGCATGACTTGCTGGTCACTTTATTTTTCACTGGGGGTAAGGAGTCTTCTGGATAAGGGTGGAGAAAACCATAACAAGTATTGGCATCACTGCAAAGAATTTCATAAATCTCAACTGCAGGTGGGCTATACCACATAGAGGGAGTTAAAAAAGAGTCCCACCCATTCAGTGGCTGATGAGAAAATACAGATATGCCTTTCTTTATTGCACCTCACTTTATTGCACTTCATAAATGTTTCATTTTTTACAAAGTAAGGCAAGACCTCCACCTACAAAAATATTACAACTTGCTTCAACTTACAATTATTACAACTTACAAGTATTGTGATACTTGTTTTTTTTGAAGTGGTCTAGAACCAATCTTGCAATATCTCTGAGGTATGCCTATATTAAAGCAGCCAGACAAGGATAGCAACTGATATGACCATCATCCATTATTTCATTCTTAAAGTATTTATTGAGCAACTGCTCTCTATGATAGGCACTAGAGAGAGATCAGATAAGGAGGACATGGACCCTGTCTTGATGGAGTTAACAGACCTAAAAAAATAGGGTACTGGTTTTTGGGTAAGTATGGTGGCATCTGCGGCCTTGAAGTGGGGAACCAGGATGTGCATTTTAACAAGACCCAACGTTCATTCTCATGCATGTGGTCCATAGACTACTGCTTTCAGAAACCATACCTGAGACTAGGTGAATGACTGAAATGATGGTTTACATCTTAGTTTAGTGCACTTAAATTGAGACTATTAGAAGTCTGAGAGACATCCAGTCAAGATGGCAGTGTAGGCAGACATGGTTCACCTTTTTGCACAACCACATCAAAATTACAAATAAAATATAGAACAACCATCACTCAGAACCACCAGAAATCGAGTAACTCTGACAACTACAGATTTAAGGAAACCACATCCATCCAGACTGGCAAGAGGGGTGCAGGTGCAGAATGGGATGGTCCCTCATCCATATGTGTTAGATAAAAATTCAGGAGGAATATCTCAGGAGAGAGGAGGTCCCAGCCCCACACCAGGAGCCCCAGCCCAGGGTTCCAATGCCAGGGAAATAAGTCCCCACGACTTCTAGCTGCGAAAGCCAGCAGGGATTGAGTCGGTAGAAGACACTGCTGGAACCCCAAGCAGCTCCTCTTAAAGAACCCACACACAGACTCACCTACTCAGACTCACTCTCTCTGAGCTCCACCACTGGAGTAGCAGCTTGAAAGGGACCAGTGACATACCGGGAGAAACTGAAATGTTTGCCAACAGTTGAGCAGAGGACATTGTCCCTTTTCTAAACCTTACCTCCATAGAGCTGGCAGGCTGGTACAATATCTGAGACTCCATCAACCTGGCTAACACTGTTTGATGTGCCCTAGAGCTCCCCAGAAACTCAACCCCAGCCAACTTACTGGCCCATCCAAGCTGCTTTTCCATATGAATGGCTGGTCTTAGCTCATACTGCACAACTTTGTAAATCCTCTCAAACAAGCAACAGCTGGCCTCAGTGAGTCCCAAGCCTGGCACTAACAACAGCCAGCCTAGATTCAGAGATCAGCTTCACCTGGGAATCTCTAAGCCCAGCACAAGTAGCAGCCATCTCAGATTACTTTATAGCTCAGGCAGAGTGGCCCCAGGCAAAACACAGGTGTGGGATGACCTTGCCTTGGGCCACCCAGGAATCCCAGAGCCTGCGCACCCTGTGGACAGCTACAGACCACACTGGAGCACCACCACCTTGCCCCTGCACAGCTTATTTTCCCTGGAGGGTAGAGGTTAATGGTCAGTGGTCACAGCCAATCCTTGCAGCTAACCTGCCTGGGTAAATCCTCCCCACTGATCTGCCAACAGCAAGGCCCAACTACAAGAGGAGGGTGTACTCAGTCCACACAAAGGGTGCACCTCAAGTACCCAGCTTGGGTGATAGAGGTGGCTGTGCCACTGAAACCCATGGGACACCTACTACATTAGGCCACACTACCAAGACACAGGGTCAGAGCAGCTCTACCTAATACATAGAAACAAACACAGGGAGGATGTCAATGAGGAGACAAAGAAACATGGCTCAAATGAAAGAGTCAATCAAAACTCCAGAAAAAGAGCTAAATGAAACAGAGAAAGCAATCTATCAGATGCAAAATTCAAAGCACCGGTTATAAGGATGCTCAAGGAACTTAGTGGGGACCTCAGCTACATAAAAAAGATCCAGTCAGAAAATAAGGATATATTTTTCCCTGTTATTACAGGGAAAGAACAGTAGAGTGGAGGAAGCCAAGAGTCAGATCAGAGAATTGGAACATAAAGAAGCAAAAACAACCAATCAGAACAGTATGAAGAAAAAAGAATCCAAAAAAATGAGGATAGTGTAAGGAGCCTCTGAGACAACTTCAAGCTATCCAACATTCACATCATAGAGGTTCCAGAATGAGAAGAGAGATAGCAGAAGTTAGAAACCTATTTGAAAAATAAGAAAGGAAATTCCCTTAACTTGGTGAAGGAAATAGACATGCAAGTCCAGGAAGTACAGAGAGTCCCAAACAGGATGGATGCAAATAGGTCCATTCCAAGGCACATCATAATTAAAATGCCAAAGCTAAAGCAGCAACTGAAAAGAAGTTAGTTACCTACAGGGAATTTTCCATAAGACTGTCAGCTGATTGCTCAAGAGAAACTTGGCATGTTAGAAGCAGTTCGCAAGAAATATTCAAAGTCACAAAAAGCAGAGACCTATGACAAAAATTGCTCTATACAGTAAGCTATCACTTAGAATTGAAGGGCAGATAATAAATAGCTTCCAACACAAGAAAAAGCTAAGGGAGTTCATCATCACCAAACCATTATTATATGAAATGTTAAAGGGATGTATTTAAGAAAAAGAAGAATATCAAAACTTTGAACAATAAAATAGCAATCAATAGAACTCTGTCAACAATTGAATCTAAAAAGCAAACTAAGCAAACAAAAAGAACAGAAACAGAATCATGGATATGGAGAAGATTTTGATGGCTCCAGATGGGAGGGGAGTGTGGGTGAATGGTTGAATAGGTGAGGGGATTAAGAAGATCAGCCCTGGCTGGTACAGTTCAGTGGATTGAGTGGGGGCCTGTGAACCAAAGTGTGGCTGGTTCAATTCCTGGTCAGGGCACACACCTGGGTTGTGGGCCAGGTCCTCAGTGTGGGGTGGGCAAGAGGCAACCATACATTGATGTTTCTCTCCCTTTCTTTCTCCTTCCCTTCCCCAGTCTCTAAAAGTAAATAAATAAAATCTTTAAAACAACAAAACAAACTAAAGCCCTAGCTGGTGTGGTTCAGTGGATTGAGTGCCAGTCTATGAACCAAAGGGTTACTGGTTCAGTTACCAGTATAGGGCACATACCTGGGTTGTGGGCCAGTTCCCAATAGAGGATACACAAGAGGCAACCACACATTGATGTTTCTCTCTCTCTATTTCTCCCTCCCTTCCCCTCTGTAAAAATAAGTTAATAAAATATTTTTAAGAAACTACAAAAAATTTTTAAAAAGAAGTACAAATAGGTAGTCACAGAATAGCCACGTGGATATAAAGTATAGTGTAGGAAATGGACTAGCCAAAGAACTTATACGCATGACCCATGGACATAACAATGGTGGAGGGATTGCCTGAGGGAGTTGGGAGTGCTGGGTGGTGAGGAGCAAGGGGGGAGAAATCAGGACAACTGTAACAGCATAATCAATAAAATATAATTTAAAAATAAAAAATAAGGTATTAACTTGCCTAGAAAGAGGGAGTCCTTTGAGAGGAAGAACTATCTAATGACCCTGGTAACTTTACCCTGTTTCATGTTTTATGTCACTCGGTATCTACTTGGGTAATTGTTCTAGCCTCTGGAGTCTTTCATTATTTTTTATCCCTCCACTAAGATTACACCCTGCCTCCCACTCTTTCCACCTATTGAAGTCCTATCTAATTTTGAAGGCTCAGCAATTGTTACTTTTCCTCCGTGAAGCATTCCCTAATAGCTCCAGGCCACAATCTGGATCTTTCAAGGCATCTAATGTCTGGAGCACACAATCTGGCACTTGAATATCACTGTAACTCATACTTGTCAATTATAGTCACCTACCCAACAACTTACAAATAGATTTCATATACATTATTACAGTGGAGCCTCATAACAACCTTGTCAATCAAGTAAGGCAGATTCTTATCCTCATTTTTTTAATTTGAGGGTAACAGGTTTCTGAGGTTGAAAGCCTTATCTGAAGGTACCAAACTAGTGAGTGATAAAAAAAGAAATTGAAATATGATCTCCTGAACCTTTCTATCTATCTATCTATCTATCTATCTATCTATCTATCTATCTATCTATCATCTATCTATCTATCATCTATCTATCTATCATTTATCTACCTATGTATCTATGTACATATGTATCTATCATATCTTTCTATCAACATATGTATACATGTGTATGTATTGCTTTTTGAGAACTGATATTCTGCCTTACATGTCTTTTTTCTCCATGGAGTCTAGTGCAGGATTGTCATGTAGCAACAAGTCAATGTACTTGGTGAGTTGACTCTAAGTGAATGGTCTCAAGAAGTTTTTTCACTGGGCTTTCTTAAAGTGCATGATGATACACATGCAAATACACACATACGTATACACCCCCCAAACAACAGTGAACAAGCACTCAGATTAAACTAGTCATTGATGTGCGAATTAATAATAGATACAAGCAGAGCTCAGAAAATGCCTGCTCTGGGATATGCAGGAGAAGAAACCAGGGGAATTGTGTTTCTCTAACAGAAGGTTTTGAGAGTTAAACCATCCTTTCTTTTCTATTAGTCAAAATTATAATGAAAATGAGTCCACTTTATGGGAAACTTATACCACAATACAACTGTTAACAATGTAGAATGGAATTATGCTCAGGACATAGGTAAAAATGATAAAGGCTAATAATAACAATAAAATATTAATTCAGCAGCTAAAATGTATTGAGCCTTAATTAATATGCCAGGCACAATGGTGAGTGGTTTTCCAAATGTTATTTTATTAGCTCTTACTAA